TAGCAAAAGGTAATGAATAATTTAACTTTGTAGTTTACTAGTACCAGGTAATGAATAATTTAGCATAAGTAATTTACTAGTGCCAGGTAATGAATAATTTAGCATAAATAATTTACTAGCCCCAGATAATGGATAATTCAACATAAGTAATTTAATAGTACCAGGTAATGAATAATTTAACATAAGTAATTTACTATCATTAAGATCATTTAGCATAAGTAATTTACTAGTACCAGATAATGAATAATTTAGCATAAGTAGTTTACTAGCACCAGGTAATGGATAATATAACCATGAGTAGTACTAATTTTCCTGATATTAATTCAAGACAGAAGAAGAACAACAAAGGAGCCACCAACACCAACCAAATAAGGTATAATACAGGCTGATACACCACCTAAGAGTTGCACCTTTTTCAAGGTCTTGGTTTAATATTGTTGTTCAAGAGTGACTTATAAGCGTTCACAACAATTGCAGCCTGCTGGTCAAAAATAACAATTATGTGGCTCAACTGGACTCAACTTTATCGACCAGGAACAAATTTAGTTTACTGCTGATATAACCACCTTTAGGACCAATCACATCTTTATGCTGTGTTAACCAACTATTTGTTTGACACATACACTAGGCACCTTTCCTAGGCACCTTTGTATTTTATGTACCTTGACTCTCTCCAATTTATAACATATCAAATTTTATTTTCAGGATATGATTGTCAGGCCAGAAGCCAGGCATTGCTGCATTGAATCAGTGAATCGGTATATTTATCCTGCAGGGTTTAAAGCTTGAATTCTTTACGGGGTCCACCCATTGCTTCATTATGTCAACATTCGTAATAATATATGTTATAAACTAGAGAAAAAAGCAGCTAGTAAAACTTAAATTCTCACCCATTTGACATGCAGGGGGAACATAATTTCACCTGCTCATTTTTTTTTTACTGACAAAAAAGAACTTGTATTTAAACAGAGTGTGATCGACACATAAAATAAATAAGATTGCGATGTAGACAAACTATTAAGATCAAACACAAGAATTGTGAAAAAGTAAATTTATTTTTGCACATTAAAAGACAAATACAACGTACAGAGAAACAGGATAAAACATCTATTAGATCTTTTTTAAAAATGATATTTATATTTCATTACATTAATGTCACTGTTCCTGCTTTGAATCTAGTAAATTTATATGGACATAGGATGAAGGAAAATAGTGAAGTGTATTTACCAGTGATGAACAGTGTATAACTCAGTAGACATGATTGAAATACAATGATCATATATTAAAACATAATAAATAATAAGGAAGCATAATGTTCAGTATTTGGCACCACAATGTTGAATTCTCATAATTGGTCCTGTGAGCTGTAGATGAAACCAGTGTTGTAGTAAGTTTGAGTTCTTCTTGAGATATCAGTAAAAAAAAGCATAAAATAAGCTAATTTTTATGCAAATTAGATATTTAATATTTACAAAATTCATCTAAGATCTGATCAGGTCTGTAGATAATCCAAGAACACTTGTGTATGAAGTTTCATCTGTGGAATGGTTTTTGAGATATCACATCTAAAAATGTACTATTATGCAAATTAGGTAATTAATATTCACAGATTTCCACACAAAACTAATAAAGTCTGTGCATTATGCTAGATCACATATGTATCAAGTTACAATGAAACATGATGAGTGGTCTTAAAGATATCAGAGGAATAGAGACAAACATATTGACACAAAAATAGCACATGGAAGTAAAAAATTGCCAGTAATTCATCACATTTAATCAGATCACTAATTTCATTACACAGTTCACGTGAGTTTAAGAAACTTGTTCAGCATACATGTGTAACTGAGTTTTTATGTAATGTGAACAATCATTGAGTAAAAAAATATATTAATGCACATATGCATATTATTACATCATTCATATGTTATATGACTAAGATCTCAGAAAAAGTGTAAAAACGGATTTTGATATTAAAAGTAGCATAGTCCATAGTAAATGCCTTATTTAATGGATAACTGCATGCTAGGGTGTTATATTATCACGAATTTATTTCAATTTTCTGTGGTTCCAACAAAGATACTCATTCAGTTACTTCATCATATACATACTAATTATTGGGTTGGTGTACATAGAGATGTTACTAATACCATCCAAAATGTAGAGACAGACAAACATACAATGTGTGACTGCAAAGTATTGTTATGATTCATCCTATAGCACATGACATTGTTTCATGATCTCTCCATGTATAGATTTGGTAGCAATGGATTAAGACTTGAAATCTGAAAATAATAAAAAAACAATATGGTTTATTTTGTTACTACTTTCTGCCTCTAATATTGTACTTTTTAAACTCATGATGACTTGCTAAACCTGTCTAGACTAAGAGGCTCTTTCCAAGACTAATCCTAAAAGTTTCACACCACATTGTGAATTTGGATCAAGGCAAAGTCAAGGTAAGCGGGAATTCACTCTAGTCCACCTCAAGGATGACATGATGACATGCATTTTTAAACTGTTTTATTTAATATGATATACCAGAATATACAAGCCTTAGAATAGTGAGTGAATTTTTAGTGAAAACAAACTGGTCAAACATTGATAGATGGTTCTATACTGTTCTTGTGTCAACAATTCACAGTAATAATAGTGGTTTTACAAATCTTATTATTAAAATCCCATTAAAAACCATCATTTGTGTTACAATGTTGCTTTTTAAAAAATAGTTCAAAATCAATTGAAATTTCCACACAAGAAAAAATATCAAAGTCATTTAATGATCTAAATGCAGTAACAATAAATTCAAACCAGGAAACAAAAAAAATCTGTGGCAATGCATCTTGGGATCATCTCTCTTTTCAACATGACATGATAACGATGCAGATTGCCATTTATTATACTCGAGGTAGGATGCCATCTTTATGACCTGGAGAATTTGACCCAAATTTTAAATGAAATTTTGTATTGTAATGTCAGCATTACTTTCTAATCATATGCATAATGATGCATATATGTATATGTCAAAAGGAAGACACTTGTTAAAGTTGAAATTACAACTGCCTATATGTTATATCCCCATATTAAAATTTTTACCTTATTAAATATGTATATAGTCATCTGTAATTGTTCAGAAAAATCTTCACTTGCTATTCCCAGATTGTCTGCAAGGTGTATCAAGAGATTTGTGTAGAGTAATAACCGATAAACTGCTAAAAAGGGTTTATTGCTTCCAAGTATGCCATAAAAACCATGACCTGTTAAAAAAAATGATGATTAAATTATCAAAGTGTACATAAATTGTATGGATATGGAAACAAAAGTATTGTGAGAACTACAAACCGATTTCAGATTGCTTGGGTAACAAATCTTCAGTCTTTGTGAGCATTTCACAACAAGATGACAGTCTAGATATGACAAGAGAGTCTTCCAAACATTCCATAACTCTGCCTTTGTTAATTACATCCTGTGAAAAGACAAAATAAA